CTAATAATACTATGTTACATGATCTTTCAAAAGTGCTTTAACGCATTTTAATATTGTTTAAATCACACGATCATTCATATGCACTACAAATGCATGAGACATGATGTATAAGAGCATCCACATTGGTATTGCATTCTCAATTGCAAAATGACATGGCATATGTGTTTGCAATTGCAAAATCAATTGCATATTTGCAAGCTTGCAACAAATGCAATTTCATAGGCAAGTCAAAAAGCCTAAAAAATGGAGATTTTTTATTTTATATTATTTTATTTTCCCTTTTACTTAATTTTTTTATAATTTAAACATAATATTTAATTATATTTGCAATTGCAAGTTAATTTGAGTTGACAATAAAAAACACAAATGCAATTTATTTTGCAATTGCATTGATGGAGATGCTCTAAGATAATTAATTTGCATACATGTTAGTAAAAATACAAGGAATCATGGTCATTCCACCGTCCATATCAAATTTTACTGATTGATATTTACTCTATAAGATAATCACTTTAAGTTCTAACATTGAGACTTTAAGCACTCCTTGAAAAATTGAAGAAGTCATCAACATCTGCTGACGGTATAGCCAAAATGATAAATCTTCACTTCATATCTAACATTGAGATTGTATAAATCATCATTTCAAAATAAAAAATAATTTATAAACATCCACCAAATGAATGCATAGCCAAGATGAGATATACATGAATCACTAAAAGTGCGCATAATAGATTATGAAAGTTTTAAAATAGGTTCATAATAGCCTTAGCCAGAAGTTTATAATTTTTAAAATGTTTTGGCTTAAATAAATATTACTATTTATAAAACTCAAGTTAGATTACTGTTGCCTAACATTTTATATTTTGATACTCCAAATTTCATTAAATCACAACTTAGTCACTATAATGTAAATTTTAGATTTTGATACTCCAAATTTTATTTTAATATAAAATCATTGAAAAATTATATTTTGGTATCTAAAATTTATGAGATTTTCGTACCTACAATTTTTTAAATTACATATTGGTCATATGTTTAGATTTCACTTGAATCCATGAATCCAATCCACCAATCATTTTGAACCAATATGTGAATCCAATCCATCATCGCATAAAAGTATAAATTTAGTTTGTACAATGTGTTGTATCACTCAATATCACTCAACTGTAGGAGAAGATTCGACCATTTTATATTTGCTCATTACGTGAAACATTAAATAAATGATAAAAGAGATAGACTCTAAAATATTGCAAGAGCAAATTTATAAACTCATTTAATACATTTATTGGGTGCTAAAAAAACTTCTACTAATTACATGTAACAAAATATGTGACATCTACATAAGCAGGTGTCAATAAATTGCTAGAGTGAAAATGGTTGACTGTTGTATTGACTGCCAACTGAAAGAATTGGTCAAAACCTTTCCAGCATCTACTTCATTTTCGTTTTATTTTTCACTCGCATTCCATAACCCTTTCTTTATTTCTTTCTTTGTCTTCTTCATCTAACCCTAATTAGTATACTATTTTTGTGTATTCTAATCACAAGTATGAACGGGTCCATACACGACTCACCAACAATCTAGAGAACTAATAAATAATTGAACTATGAACCACTAACTTTTTTCAGCTCAATGTCGAGCCCAATTAAATATAAATATATATGGTATTACTTATTAGAAAGTCTTCATTTCTACTATGGGATTTGATATGTGTAGATATTTAGCTAAACATTCCATGTATATTTGTTGAAAATTCTAGCCCTGGTGAAAAAGAAAAACTCTAGAGAAAAGCAAAAGGAATACAAACTTCCAAACTCATATATATGTCATTCATACCCTACCCATAACTAATGAGTCTACTTGAGTTTAGGTAGATATAATTTACTTGCCAAATTTTCAAAAAACTTTAAATTGGATGTTGACCGCCATATATCTCGTCGCATTCAATAATATATTGTCAAGTCAATATTACTAACAAAACTGCTAACAAAAAATTAATTTTAGACTAATAATACTAACAAAACACCATAACAAACCACATAATACATGTTTATGGGCCATGTCCGCCCCGCGACAAGGCGCGGCTTCTCCACCTAATTACTATATATTTTAAGCTATAACCATTTTACTGTTGCCTAATAACTATTTAAATATGCACTACTATTATCTTATTGTTCGAAAGCCCGCACAAATAAGGGGGAATATCTAAGTTAAATGTTTCATTAAGTAGAAGCTATTGAAAAAAGAAGCTTGGAGAAATCAAAATAATAGAGTCACATATTACACAAAAATTAAAGAGACACAAAGGAGTTTTTAACTAAAACTGAACAAATCAGTAAAATCATGAATCATTTACGATACTGAATTAATTTTTTGATTTGGACAGTTAGTCATAACCGGTTGGTTGTGATTGAGTGTTGAACCACCAAAATTTCTCTAATTTAAGTGGTTCATTGATTTTGCGCAAAAAAAAAAAAAAGTTAACCATTAAAAATAATATGGGAGGAAGAATGTGAAAAGCTAACTAATTGCCATTTAGATTTTTCATACTTTCTCTTCTTTTCATTTTTCAGTTGTACTTCGTTTCCCTTTCCTTATTCTCACATTTGGCTTCTTTGTTCACCCTTAGTTAGTATATTACACATGTATTCTAACTTACAAATATGAATGTTTTAATAAACGATTTACAAACAGGTCTATAAAGATTTATAATTCAAACATGAACCACTATTTTTTCTGGCTCAATATTGTCAATTCCAATTAAAAATACAAAGATTTTTCTATTTATTAGTAGAGTATCATTTTCCTTTCTATTTCTCCTTCTAGGATTTGAAAGCGTGAAATTTTTAAGTTGAGTTCTACTTTTTGTTCCATTTGATTATGCAATTAGAGCTTTTTCTTCTCACTCGAGTTAGAATTTTTACAATTATACACGAAATTTCCGGTTATATATACATATAAAATAAGGAGTCATTCATGAACAATTATCATTCTCACCAAAATATAAAAAAATTATCAATGTAAATACACTATTGTAAAGATAATCACATCTCAATGGAAACCAAAACAACCCAAAGATTGACCAGCTCGCTACAAAGCGCGATTCCACCCTAGTGTGTATATATATATATTGTTTGCATCAATAACGAAAAATAATTCATCGAATATTTATTGTTTAGTTCAAAACTTATCTTATATTGGTCAAATTCACAAATCTATCCTCGAGTCGCACAAGAGAGTCCACTATGTTTTAACACAGTAGATTACATTAGTTGCAATATCAATAAAACAATCAAAACAAATATCGTGGATTTATAAAAGTCAAAACTATATTGCAACCATCTTATGTAAAGATAGAATGTAACTCACTCCGGCTGACGACGGGTACAAAGCTAGTGTTTCTAGGTAGACATGTTTTTTTTTTTTTACAAAGAGGTTGCTTATATTTCATTCCGAAAGAAACTCGGTTACAACGAAAGGGATACACCCTGAAAATCAACTACAAGAAAGAAATCCCAAAGAACCAGTACATCGAAAATGGAGAGAAAAGGCCCAGAAGCAAACAGAAGGGCGACACAACAACAACATGAACAATTCAGGGGAACCCTTTTCATGAGCCGAAAACAGAGGATCCAGCAACCATTGTAATCGCATCAAACAGAGTGAGACACAGCAGAACTTCAGCTCGCCCAAACCCAGCCTTGACCATGGAAATTGAGCAAAGCAACACCATATGCCGCCTTCTGGGGGTAGTTCAAAGACACCCATCACAGTGAATCGCCGATGAGGGATTGCGCGGCGGTGGACATGACTGAGATCGGATTGCTTAAAGCTGAAAAACGGCAAACGGGACTGGAGCGGAGAGAACCATGAAACAGCAGTGAAAAGATGCATCTAAGGGTTGAACCGACCAGAAGAAAAGAGCCACAAGCAAAGGAAAGGAGAAAAGAGCAGAACCAACCAGAGGAAACGATATGAAGAGACAAACGCCAACTGAGAAAACCCAAACAAAACCAAAGCCTAGACCTCAAAGCAGCAGACCCAACAACAACCCCAACACCCAAACAAATCAACCCAAGATGAATCTCAAAACTACGACAACAATGGTGCAACCGCCTCAGCAACAAGAGGAGACTCCTCTTCCACAACAGCCAATCGACGCACCGAGGAACAACGACGGGAGGGGAATCGGTGAATGCAATCATCCTATAAGATGACCGCACCAAACTTGGATAGAAACCCAATTTGCATCCTCCAAACCCAAAACAGAGCAGAGCCAAACCAGATCTTGAAGATCTGGAGCAGAAACCGGACAAACCTCCTCAATTAAGAGGGATGTGGAAAATCCCACTTAGGGGAAGGGAAAACGCCATTACGGCTGGAAAACGCCAAGGAAGTCAGGAAAAACAGCTGTAAATGAAAGAGGAAGCTGAGGAAGAACAGGAGAGCAGCAGGAAAGAAGAGAATATTTGGGCTACCGCCGGTCACCCAATCGTGCCGGCGGCAGCCCTAACGGGAGGAAGCTGAAAAGGTAGAGAGGGCAGAGAGAATTTGAAAAGTTAAAACAAGAGAGAGAGGCTAGGGAATGGGTGATCTAGGTAGACATGTCGTTGGGCGTATTAGCGAGTTTTGTCACCTTTAGCCTCCTTTCCCATCTCTTTCTCTCTATTACTCACTCCCTGTTTCGGCTTATCCACAACCACAACGCCTCCTCTTCCCCAATCCCTAAAATTCACAACAATGGCGGACATCGGCGTAGTGACCGTCTAATGTAACGGTGCCTAGGCTTGTCAATGGGTAGGCCTATTGGGTCTTTTGACCCAAATACCTTGACTCATATGGGCATTGGGTTTGGACCCAAATGGATCCAAATTTCTTTTTACTTTTTTGGGTTGGGTTTAAATTGGGTCCAGAATGGGCCTGTATATTTGGGCCGACCCAAATGGGTCCATTTGGGTATAAGTTAGATTCGTACATACTGACCAAACTATAACCACACCTGCTTGCGAAAAGGATATAGAAGTTTCTTCTGCACAAGACAATTGGGGAACATGGCAACAGGAGGAACCTGTACTGTATAGTCCTAATCAGTTGCAATGACAAGATCCAGCTGTACACCCCATAATATGGGCAGGACAGATATTCCTTTGAGGAAGCAGATGATAATCTTTACAAACTCAACCAAAAGGAAAATGCAAGAGAGATGGAACGCCAAAATAACCTCAACCATCATGGCAACATTAGGGCTGCTCTTCAGACTTTCCAGGTACGCTTCGGAATGAACCTGTCAATGACTACTAATCAGCACCTAGTAGATGTTCTGTATACAAATCGCCACAAGTAAGATCATTGTACAGGAGTTGCTGAAATTACCACCAACAGATCATCTTTAGAAGCTTCGATTGGCTCGACAATTCTTTTCTTATCCAGAACACCAGCAGAGATCAAAAGGAGAAGTGGGCAAAAGTCATCTGGAAACTCACCTCTTGGCACCGCTTCAATTGTCATGCTCCTCCCCATCTTCATCAAAATCTGCATCTTCCGCGTTCTCATCGTCTATAGTTGCATGACTCAAATCATGAGTAACTTTGGACACACCTATGTCAAAATTGAAACCAATTAGTAACCAATGATATACAATGTTATACCTTTGATAAAAACATAAATCATATACCTTTGACCTCATTTAGTAACCAATTTTGAGAACACATCAACGCCTCGATAGCATTAGCGTCAAGTCGACTACGATGTGGACTCAACAATCTCCCACATGTGCTAAAAGCAGATTCTGAAACAACTGTCGTCACGGGGATGGCTAGAATATCTCTTGCTATCAACCTCAAAGTTGGATACTTGAGCCCTTGATTCTTCCACCAAGCTAATATATCAAACTCATCACTTCTTGGTATCACCCCATCACTCAAATAAGTATCAAATTCTACTTTCACATTTGAAACTCTATGATCACCGCTTACAAACCTATCAAATCCAGCAAGAAAATCATCATCCACTTGTTGACTCGACCCAGAAAACATAGCTGTACCACTTGCAAACTCCTCATTAGGTTCTGAACTCTTGTACTGATTAAGCAAATCATAAACAATATCTTTAATCCTCTTCAGATGGTGTTCAGCCAAAACACCATAAATTGGTTCAAACGCCCATACCAAAATTTTCATCTTGTATCTAGGATCTAGAATTGCAGCAACTGCCATCATTCCATGAATGATATCCCAATAATCATCAAACTTCTCCAACATTCGTGATGCCATATTTGCAATATATGTATCAGGAGATAACACCCATTGATTCAAAGAAACCTTTATCTCACAAACCTTGGGGAAAAAAATATTGGCAATTGGATAGGTAGAACCTGAAAACACTTATGTGATGTTGTAAAACAACTTTAACTTCTCACAAATCTTTTCTGCCATAATCCACTCATCTTCACTTGGCACAATAATATAACCTGAATCTCGTAGTCTGAACCGAGGAAAAACCTCTTTGTAATCCAAGGCAGTAGAAAGCATCACATAAGTAGAATTCCAACGAGTCCTACAATCAAGAGCTAATTCTTTTGATTCAATGTGTCTTTGACTCGCCAAAAGAGTGAAATTTTGTCGTCTTTTTGGCGAAGCAGTCCAATAGACAACACTATCACGCACTTTCTCAATACAAGTCTCGATCATAGATAATCCCTCATGAACTATTAAGTTTATAATATGTGCTGCACATCTCATATGAAAAAGAGAACCACCCAAGAGAAGTGAACTCGCTTGTAGCTTCTCTCTTAGAAGAGATCTAACCATTGCATCATTAGTACTACAGTTATCTAGAGTGATAGCCGATAGCTTGCTATCGATATTCCATGCAGTCATACACTCAAAAAGTACTTCACAAAGCACATCTTTTGTATGATGAGAGGGAACATAGCAAAATCTCAAAATTCGATTCTGAAGACTCCATGAATCATCAATATAATGTGCAGTAACAACCATAAACCCACGTTTATTGTTGTTTGAGGTCCACATGTCTGTTGTAATGGCTACTCTACTACTGTTTCTCTCCAATTCCATCATAACATGAGTCCTCCCTTCCTTATAGATCTTCAAGATGTCACTTCTAACTGTGTTTCTTGAAATCATTTTGAATGCAGGTTGAAGAGAGCTTACAAACTTTCTTACACCAACATAATTAACCATAGCAAGTGGAAACCCATGCAAGATAATCATGTTGGCAAGATCCCTTCTACTATTCTCTTGGTCAAAGATATATGGACTGGAACTTCTACTAGCACCTAACTTCTTTTTCAACAAGTTATACAAGTGCTTAATCTTAGGGCATCTTCGCAAGTGCTTGTCTAAATGAGTAGTTCCATGCACAGCTGAAAGCATTTTCTTGCAATGTTGACATTGATCCTTTAACTCTCCTCTAAATAATACTTTCTTAAAGTATTTCCATACATGAGACCTCAATTGTTTACTGCCATTAGAAACTACTGTAGGAGCTTCACTATTGCTTTCACCAGAATCTGTATGAGAATTTTCAGGAACCTCAGATAATTCAATAGTTTCATCTATTTCTGAAGCCATTTTCACTTAACCGGAATAACATAACATACCAATATTACCACAAGACACATCAAATATATGAATAAAGGGATGCATTTCTACATAACATACCAACATAATAACAAAAACCATAAGATTATAAATTTCAACCATTCCAAGACCTCACAAGCTTCGACACTATGAGTCTACCAGTTCCTTTGTCCCGTTAGAGACCCTTCTGATTTACAGGAGGGCAGTAAAAATTTGACAAAATCCAACCATTCAAAGTTCCCAACAGCAGAACACTCAACGATCGATTCATCAGGCTAACAGGCAGAATACACCTAACGGAACTCTGCCTTCTGCCATTCATGCATACGTGCTGTTCTCTTCACCTAACGGAATGTATCATACAAGCAAACAAGAATGAGAGTGTATCACTAACCTCAAGTTGATTGTTGGACAGATTAAGCAACTTCAGGCCATGAATCTTGCCAAATGCCTCGGGCAAGTACCTCAGCTTCCTGGCGGACAAATCCACCTTATCAATTCCCTTCCCCAACAAAACAGAAACGGTCTAGTGACTAGCAGGAAGTCTCCACTCTTCAGGACTAGTAATATTCTTCTTTTCACTGCAAGCACGAACTTAGTCACTGAGGGTCCTGGAGGCGTATTACGCCCAGTTTTAGAGGGATTTTTCGCTGTTCTGAGGTGCAGGGCTGCGGAGGTTGTGGCGGGAGGAAGGATGGTCCTGACGTTCCTGGGAAGGAGGAGTGAGGAGGCTTCCAGCAAGGAGTGTTGTTATATTTGGGAGCTCATGTCCATGGCCCTCAACCAGATGGCATCCGAGGTACCTAAAAAAAACCCAAAACCAAAGATGAGACAAGTAAACCAAACCCAGATGAACGACATGTTAGAGCGTGAGATACAGGGGAAAAGAAGAACCGAGCAAACAGAGTGCTCTGTTTTTCTTTCTCTTCTTTTACGGGTTTTGCTCGCCAGAAACAATTATTCAATAGCTGAGCAGCACCCGAAGTCCCACCGCGCGAACAGGAACTTTGGCTGACTTTTCTTTCTCAGATTCCACGGAAAATATCACAAATGCAATGCTGATACACTGCAAAGGGAAATTAGAGCACGGAATTGGAAAACATACCTTTTTGTTCGTTAATTTGGACTTTGGGGGTTCGGATGCTTCCGGGGGAAGGAACTGAGAGAGGTCTCCCAGGTAGTCGTCTTCTTCATCTTCCTCCCGTCGTCCGGCAGCTCCCAGACCGATGGTTTCGGTTTCGGGCAAGATCTAGAAGAGAAGAAGATGGGGCAAACCTGGAGATCGAGACCAGCACGAGAAGAGCGAGAGGTGGGTTTCTTCCACAACCTCGGGGTCTGATGGTGGGGAAAAGGAGAAGCTGCCGGCGTCGGGGCCGATGGTCGCTGATCGAGAATCGGGATTGCAGGTCGGCGGCGTTTTCGGCGGCGGCTGCGGGATACGAATACGATGGTGGAGAAGCAAAAGCAATTGCTCTCGTTAAAGGGTATTAGGTCATGAGGAGACCCGTTTGGGTTCTGTAGAATTTTTTTTTAATTAATTTTCTGGGCCTATTTTGGACCCAATTTAATTGGATGGGTATGGGTCTGCTCCAAAACCTGATTTGACCCAAATTCAATTGGGTTTGGATAAAACTCATACCCTAAGACCCATTTGACATGCCTAACGGTGCCCTCTACGAGACCGCCAAGAAATTCACCTTCTCCGTCAAGGTGGGCCTCGCTCAAATGCTCCGCGGTGGCATAATCATGGACGTCGTTAACGCCGAGCAGGCCAGAATCGCCAAGGAAGCCGGCGCCGTCATGGCTCTGGAGCAAGTGCCCGCCGACATCCGCTCCCAAGGAGGAGTCGCCCGGATGAGCGACCCCCAATTGATCAAGGAAATCAAGCAGGCCGTCACCATCCCCGCCATGGCCAAAGCCCGCATCGGCCACTTCGTGGAGGCCTAGATCCTGGAAGCAATCGTAATCGATTAAGTTGATGAGAGCGAGGTCATGACCCTGACCGACGACAAGAACCACATCAACAAGCACAATTTTCGGATCCCCTTTCTCTGTGGTTGCAGGAACCTCGGGAAAGCCTTGAGGCGGATCCGGGAGGGCGCGGCGATGATCAGGACCAAAGGCGACGCTGGGACGGCCAACATAATCAAGGCCGTCAGGCACGTGAGGTTGGTGATGGGAGACATTAGGGTTCTGAGGAACATGGACGACGACGAGGTCTTCACTTTTTCCATGAATATTGGCGCACCGTACGACCTAGTGATGTAGACCAAGCAGCTCGGGAGGCTCCCCGTGGTCCAATTCACCGCCGGGGGAGTGGCGACCCCAACCGATGCGACGTTGATGATGCAGCTCGTCTACGATGGCGTTTTCGTTTACTCTGGAGTGTTCAAGAGCGGGGATCCGGCCAGGAGGGCACATGCAATTGTGCAGGCCGTGACCCATTACATGGACCCGGATGTTCTTGGTGAGGTGAGGTGAGCTGTGGGTTGGGCGATGCCATGGTGGGCATCAATCAGAGTGACGCCAAGGTTGAGAGGTATGCCAATCGATCAGAATAAGCAAGGAAAGCGGAAGAGCTTTGGCATTACAGAATTGTGAAATCCATTTTTGTTTCTCTTCTCTGTTAGCAACCTCGAATTCATTACAATCCATCCCCTTTCACATTCTTAAACCGTCACTTGCTAGCTTTCTATGAAGCTCTCTAAGACACATCCATCCATCCATCCATGATCAAAAGTCAATTTTCAAAGTGGTAGTTTGGCATGATCGAACTTCTTGAGTGTTTAGTTTGGCTTTCATGATGAATAAATGTGCTTCATTATTCAATGTTCAGATAGATTCGAGCATATGCCCATCTGCACATATTGAACAAAGCTGGGAACTTGGGAGTCCTTTCTAGCTAGCTGGCACTAACTGTTCTTTTCTTGTCTGGAAAATCACATGGTTCTTCTTGAGGTTGTGTTGTCTGCTTCTTTCACTTGGTTGGTTAGGTGA